CCCCATACTACGTCTAGTCCCTCGATGATGGAAAGGGGAAGGACGGAATTAACTCATCTCACTTTATACACACATGGAACTTGTCAACTTATGTCTCAGGGTGACGGACACAGTGGCAGTGCGCCTAGGATCTTAAAAGCTCCAAATGACACTGAAGCTGTTATGCGTAGGCGTGTCGCTTAACATCAGGTGCACAACTTCTTCTTCCCGTCACTTGGTATGGTAAAAAAATGCTCCTTGAGAAATAGTTCTTCCCGGTAAGCGCTATCACGATGGCACTGGGTTCTTATTTTGATATCACGTATGACGTATGACGGGGCGCGTGTGCGCCTAGCGGTAATCGTCACTCCTACCCACAACAGTTGCACTGCCAATCAGAGCTTTAAACCTGAAGGATACTGCTACTGCGCCCGTCACCCTGAGACATAAATTGACAAGTCCCATGTGCCTGTAGTTTCAACCCTTACCCTTCAAAACAGGTGGCTGTATTTTCCTGGACGAACTCGAACGTATGCAGATAGTATAGAACAACTATTTATTCCGTTCTCGGAACTTAAACACATTAACAAAGTGTTTCTATGATTTTAATGAGTACAAAATATTTGGAATTATTGTAAATTAGTTTTTATATGGCTCTTGATTATGCTCTTTTTGCTCCAAATCGTGATAATTAACTTTTAAAAATTAACATAGATAATTACACGAATTGATGCTTGTTTGTTGATAAATATTCATATAGTTTTTTAACATTTTGTTTTAAATATCGAGTATTTTAGTTTTTGCGTTTGTTATACTTTGGAAATAAAGTATTTTTCCGAACAAATTTGAAACAACTTGACCTCGGCTTCTAATAACTTTTTTATTAAATAAACCTATCTCAAAAGTTGCTGGAATTACATCTATTTGCCAAGTTTTATTGACATCGGTTAACGGAAAGTGAGTGAAATCCGGTAAACCGGAAAAAGGAATCAGTTAAAAAATGGTTAAATTTCCAATAATTATATTTATTTATTGCAGACATTATACTTACTTGTGTACCAACAACAAATAATCCTCTACTTAACCATGTAATAATGGGTAAAAACATTTCACATTAAATTTCTATCAGTCATTTGTTCGTACTTAAATACAACTGTTAAAAAACATCCTATATTTGTTATGAAAGATTTTAAAATTAGTTATATAAAAAAAGTTTAGTCTAGACTGCTAAATAGAGATCTAGAAGTGGTGAAACTACGTGATAACAAGGTTATCTTTGAACATGCTAATATTATTTTCGATTTCTAAATAATATTTCACGACACGAAAGAACCAGGAGCTGGAAAGACATCGTGTCTGAGGCCAATATTATTAGAGAGTCCGCCAGACTCCGTTGGCTCGGACATCTCAAAGAATACCAGCTCATGGGGTGAAAAGAGCCTACGTGAGACATCGTAGTACTCGACAACCAGTTGGTCGGGCAAAATACCGATGGAGGGTCAAAGTGGAGAAAGACCTCTGCGCCCTGCACGCACGCATACTTGAAAAAACATGTTAGGTATGAAGGTTCATTCGCAACATGCGCCTTTTAACTTGGTCGGGTGTTACTTATTTGACAGTAATCGTTTAGGACGAGTGTCGGACGGAGAACTAGAATAAACCCCCAGAGGCCCACTACGGGTCCCTAAACCACCGGGTTGGAGTGAGTGAGAAAAAAATATTACATCAAAATAAATAAAGTCCAGACTGAGAAATAGAATTCTAGAAGTAGTGAAACTACGTCAATTCGATAGAATTTTCTTTTTGTTTGGTTACGCGATAACTCATTTGTGAACCGATTTTGATGACCCTGTTTTTGTTGGAAAGAGGATATATACTTCAGTAGTAGTAGAAAATATTCCACCTCTAGGGTGGCAAACTAGGGGATGAACGACTTTTGACGACGGTTTTTTCACTACTCTTTACAAAGATTATTTGATTTCTAAATAATATATCACAACACTGTAACTGGAATATCATTCATATTTCATTTCGTGATATCCATGTATGTATGTGTTTAAGAATTCTAGTTCCACGCCTATCTTTCACCGGGGTAGGCAAAAACCATGCACCTCAACTTGCGACGCTCCTGATAAACCTTCTTCGCCTCCTCCAATCCCACCAGTCTCTTCACAGACACTCGTTTATTCTTGATACTTTTAATTTCCGACCTTTTATGAAGACATCCCCAATTTAACGAGGTCTACCTTATACCTCCATCCACATTCGCTCTATAAATTTGTGCCGCTAGTCTACCAACATTCATTATTTCTACGTGACCAAACCAACGAAGCATCCCCTTCTCTATCCTGATAACATAATCTTTCATACCACAACGCTCTCTTACTACATTGTATTCCATTCGGTTTTAAAGACAATAAATTAATAATAAACCTAACCTAAAAATGAGCAACCATGTTCTTCCGATCCCTCTGGCCTGCGGGATTGGAAGTTACTTTAGATGAGCTTATATAGATCAAGTGGTACCCGAATGGAAACCATTTTGACTCCTGGTAATAACCAAAAAGGCTTTACAGCAAATTTCTTATTAGACAGTAAGATCTAATTTACAAACAATTAACATTAATAAACAAATTATAAACATGGCGGAGTAACAAAGACCTGAGTAGGGTCGTAACAAAGCCGGTAATCCTATTTGTTTACTTGTAACATGCCTACCTACTATATATATACATATCACCGAATATAACGCCACCAAACGAAGATGCAATAAAGCTCCTTGTGAAAGAGTTCGTCCAAGGAAGTACTGCCGCATTACCTATTTCTGCCACCAAGCAGTAATGAGTTTGTTGAGTTTTGGTCGAGTTTCGAAGAGTAAGGGTGCTGGTGAAAATATAGGCACATGTGACTTGTCAACTTATGCCTCAAAGTGACGGATGCAGTTGCAAATGCTCCTGAGATCTTTGCGGCTTAAAAGTCTGAGTGACATTGCAACTGTTAGACAGGAGTGTCGCTTACCACACTGCGATATCATAAAAAGACATTACATATTGGTTTTATCGACATTTTTGTTTGTGAGAAATTAATTAAAATTTTTCTTCACTTTTCGTCCCAGATTAGATACTAGATACAGACGCAAATTCGTATCATGTCAGGTCGAGAAATATTTCCTTGTTTACGATCTTTATAACAACCTAGTGGAGTAATGTCATAAATAATAAATTATCATGAGTAAAATATCATGATACTCAGTCAATAAAATCAATATTACAATAACGTTTATAGTTAATCAAATAAGGATTACATTTACCAAATACTTTTAACGTCGGTTTGAAACTGTATTAAAAAAAATCGAAATAAAACATTTTGGGTTTTGTGACAAAGCAGAAACGACAAAATGTTGAATTGCAACAGTTTAGCATAGATTAAATCAAATGTTAATAAATAAAAATTGTGCAAATTTTACAAAAATGCAAAATTATATTCAGGTGGCTGAATTAGACAAATTTACATAAGTAGCCTATTATATTTATTTAGCCTATTTATTGAGTACCTGTTGGCTATAAAGCCATCAGCTATAAAGCCATTACAAATAAATAAGAAACTCGAAACGTAATTAAAATAATATGTGTAAAAACTGTAACTGCAAAAACCGGCCATTTTTATCTACTACATACATCTTTCTAATTTGTGATTTCTATTGTAGGAAATTGAAACAAATATTTTTCTAACCTTTTTTTTATTTAGAGGATTAACGGCTTTGGCAGAAGTCCATACAGCCTATACTTTATTTATTTTCTGCATTTTAGTTTCAATTGTCATATAGGTTTCCAATGCTTAAAACAAATGACAGTCGACCATTTTTTGTTTTCAAATTAGACATGAGAAAAAAGTAAAATATCAGGCGAGGTTTTTGAACAGTGCATCTTGTTACTATTCAGCCATTACATTCCTTACTAAAAATATTCATTCGCTCTCTTTGTTGTATCTGTAGTTCGCTATTGTAAATTGAACGATGCAATTTAAAGAATTAGCCCGTGATTAAAACCAGTGTCTTTTAGTGTAAAACAGATCCACCCAGAGCTTTCCACTACGCCCATCATCCAGACTTAAGTTGACAAGTCTCATGTGCATGTACTCGTCATTTCACCAGCACCTTTACCCTTCTAAACCGAAACGCAGAAATGCTCACACTACTGCTTGGCGGCAGAAATAGACAACGTAATACTTCGAACTCTATTGGTACTAAAAAAATTGCCACACTATTTTGGAAATTTTACTAGGGTGCCGTTAGATATGTGAATATAACTTAATGATAGATCCAGATCGATTCGAGCGATAGTTCAAGCTGTAAAATGTTAAATCGAAAATACTTTGGTCCGAAAATTTTGCTAAATATTTAGGACAGTTGATCAGACGGGTTACGATAGATAAGATGAAATATAATATTGTACCTATTTATAATGCAAATTTTATCATAAATATTAAAATAAAATCTTTAATGACATCTTAAATCGTGTTTGTAATTTATTAAAACGACAATCGTAAATTATTTTTACAACTTTGTTTAGCTCTTGACACTAACTAGGTACCATAAAACCTTAGCGGTCAAGTACTTTACAAAGTAATAGTGTGACATAAATATACTACTACACTACAAAGCATCTGTTCTCACTCAAACGGACACGCTTGTATAAAATTGTATATAATAAAAGGAAATAAGAATTAAAATTATAAACTTTATAGCATATTTTAAAAACTGACTCATTAAAATATTATTATTGATTTCTCGCGACAAATAGGGGTAACCCAAAATTTGGAAAAATTGATAATGGAGATTTAAAATTTTTCGATAAGTAAATTATTTTTTCGGATATAGAATCTACTTTTTTTTTCAAACAAACCAACGTCACGATCAACCATGACCATGGGACCTGTAAAAAGCCCAAAACATTGGTTTATTTCAGAAAAGATAAAATTTGATAACTCTATTATAATTTCAATGAAAAAAAAGTACTTACTAGGCATCATTTCTACGTGCGACGAGGTATCCATGATATTGTGATGATGCATCATTTCGGGTGGGGACTGCACCAGCCCACCACCACCCCCACTGGCCATAACCATCACTGGTTGATTCCTACACTGATGATGATAGAGACGACGTTGCGAATTTATAAAATTTTAAGTTTCTTGTTATTTTGTCTATTTTTTAAATATTTCTTCGGGCAGGCGTAATGATTTTTTACCGAATAGTTACTTTTTGATTTAAGAATCACGATTATCTTGTTTATAGATTTATTATACCTAAGAGTATAAAACACTAAAACAGTGCAGAACACAGTTCGATCACAAACGGAATACACCAAAAATTTTGGTTTAATTTCAATATAAAATAAAAATTCCACTAATTATACCGTCATTAGGCACTTCGACATGCTTGTTTTAAAAAAGTATAATCGGCCGTCATAGACGTCCCTTCACGGCAACGGGCAAGCCCACACTGCCGTATTATAGTTATAATTCTATGGATCGACGCAAAAGCGCAGGCGTGAACCTGCCTCTTTTCTGATTGGCTAACATTTAGAACGCCTTTCCGAAAGATCGTTTGTGATTCGTCGAGAGCTTCCCATTTTCCCGCCCTAATTGACTGTGCCCTTACAAAATGGCGCCCCAATAGCCTTTTGATGCTTTTTTTGAGCATTTCCTTCGCTAAAAAATAATCCGGTTCAAATATAATGAGCATGATTTATGGCCTGATCCGTGGTGTTTTTGATTTTTTTTAATCTGGCAAATGTTAATCTTTCTTGTTTTAGGTGGTTTGTTTTTGATTAATCGCGATCGGATTTTTGTTTGATCTTAGCAAGTGTTAGCTTGTTTCTGGCTTCGTTCTGTTTATTTTGAGTTGAATTGTGCAGTGTTTTACGTTTATCTTATAACGTTTTTCTACATTTTTGAGGGATTACAAAACTTGTATATTGCTGAAATAATTATTTTGTTTATTATTGTAGCGTTTTGGTTATTAAATATTTTAAATGGCAATAGTCAAAAAAATACGGCAGCCACAAAATATTGCAATTCTTGAGTTACTAACTTTTGCGTTACTTCTATTTTCGTTAATAAAACGTCTAACGCGCGTTTGGAAAATGTTACAGAAGAGCGATTCAATTTTTTTTAAGAAAAAAATCATAACTCTAATTTTATTTGTTAGGTATATGGAAAGGCTGAAACTTCCTGGTATTCCATATAGCACATAAAATTAGAGTTGTGATATTTTTTGTTAAAAAAAATGCTTTAAATCTGTCGGTCTACTTGTTTTTCAAATGTACGTTAGACATTTTGTCTTTCCAGAGTCGATTTTTTTGGACGTGCACTCTGTTCAGTAAGTACGTTATAAGTATATATTATATTCTTAACATATTTAAAAAAAAGCCAATTGTTCAGGAGAGTTTTTAAGATCGTACAAGCGAAACTAGTTGATACCTTTTTTATGCTTAAGTGGGAGGCATCGAGTATATAACCAAAAATAGAGAAGAAAAGTCATTTAATTTCTTTGAAAACTATTCTGCCAAATCATTACGGTGACAACTGTGCTCCGATTGGCCAGCAAGAATTTGAAAGAATTGACGGGAGTCGTCAATTGTTTCACTTCAAATCGACCAGTTTAACTTGAGCATTGCTATAATGGACGAAAATTTAAATATTTAAAGTTTAATTACCGATGAAATGTGATTCCGTTTGTTTTGTAATTAGATGTTTTGATGTTTTTCCCCCACCACCGAATGGAACAGCCCCTCATAGTTAAAGATATTATCTTTATTACAATAAATACAGAATATTTTTGGAATATAGGGAGACGCACACACAGGTCAGTTGTTGGCGCCGTACTATTTCAGCTTCCTAATTTGTGATTTCAGCGCAAACGAGAGTTTATTTTTAAAATTGATTTATGGCCCATTTGCCTGATGAGTAGCCAGGGATGGATGGTCCTTGTTTCGTCTCTATTTCTGGTTATATACTCGATGTGGGAGGGTTATAAAATTTCACCTAGGTGCCTATAGATTGATACCTAAATTGTTCCATGCAGTTTGTATTATTTTTAAGACTTTCATGTCGATTACCTTTTATTAAATTTTTTATTTATTTTTTGGTCGTTTTCTATTATTTTTGTAAATAATGAAATTTATTTACTAATATTACGCTCCCTGAATTTTGTTAAGAAAAATTAAGAAAGAAAAAACAAAATTTGAACCAAAAAAAACAAATTTTGTGAGAACAGAAACAAAACAAAATAAAAACAGAACAAGTCCAATAATTAAATTGGTCTAGTGTTCACTGGAGGTATCGATGTGATAAAAGCAATTTTGATATGTGTGATCACTGATCACATGTAGGTAGCTCTTTTATATTAAGGATACGAATACAAGAATACAAGAATACAAGATATTTATTCGCTGAAAAATGTAGTTTACAATGGTGTTATAGTATATTATTATTAGATCGTACATTTCACCAAAACTTGGCATGCGAATATTGTACACAATTCTTATTTCAATCACGCACAGTGGTTAAATTTTACATTTCATGTTATCTATTAAAAAATCATTTATATTGTAGTAGCATTGTGTAACTGACAAATTATGTAATTTTATTTTAAATTGCCTACAATTTAGTTCTTTACCTGCATCTGGTATTTTATTAAATAATTTAGGTGCCAATATAAACATCGTTCTATTGTAAAATTCCAAGGTGGGGCGTTGTTTTGGCCGTATTCCTATTTTGTTCCTTGTTTTCCTGGGATGTCTGGTTTTCACTAGATTAAAGTTGCCTGGATTTTGTTTTATATAAACACGATATACGAATTGTATATTTTTAATGAACACCTAGCAATACAAATAAGGTTATATAATCAATTATAAGTATCATTTAACTCATAATTTTGGTGCCAACTGTAAGCAGGAATGCTTAAAAAACTCGTCAAAGGGCAGCGTAAAACGTAGTTAGTTATATTGTAGGAAAACAAGTCATAATATAGATAAGCGTATTTTATTATACTTCCATTAACCATTAATTTCATTTTCTTAAGTATGTTGATTGGTATCATGTTATATTATGGACTCTTTGCCATACAGATATCGATGGACAGATCTTGCGAAAAACTAATAATTTTAATTATTTTTTTTCACCTCACTAGTTCGGGGCCTTTCTTTCTCATTACGAATCTGCGCGCAAAAGCGTTTTGGTTTTGGAAATTCGAATTTGACGATGAACCTACACCTAACTTACTCTTTCGATGAAAAAAAAAACATGATTCGTTAACACACTGCGCGATTTGTCACACATACGTACATTATTTAAGTAATATAAATCCGTTGATAATTTTACTATGACTTTACTTACATTAAATTGACAACGGTAACTAATTTTTATAGTATGAACATTGACTTACAAATAAATGGACGACGGGTCTAATACAAAAACCACGAAAAAAATGTCCCAAGTCAACCTATTTAAACGTAGTGACATGTAAAGGAATATGAAAAAGCTAAAACGTTGAATTTAAATTGTAATGTCATCGCAGTACTGTCTAATTTTGCTTGCTTCGCTGTCAGTCGAACAAACGAAGACTAAAGCGTGAATGACGCTCTGTATACGATTTTAACGCCCTATAAGTTCGGACACTTTTTAGCGCGGACCCGACGTCCATATAATTGTAAGTCAATGGGTATGAATGAAAAACTGATTTGTTATAACTCAACTGTTTATTCCTTCATCTACCATTTTCCTCGCTATAGAGAGATGAAAGTTGTTTGAAACCCTCGTTACGTTCAGGATTCTAATTTTCAATCTTACAAACCTTCGCTTACTCAGGTTTCAGTACAAGCACTCGCGTAACAAATAACTATTTTAAACTATCTTATCTCGTCAAACGGACACACTAGATACATTTCACCCTCTAATTGGGCAACCCTGAACAAAAATCATCAATTTCCACTAATTACATTGTCAGCGACGTGTGAGGCAGTTTTTGCATCTTCACCAATTAAAAAAAAATCATATGGCGCCAAATGTTCGCACCAAAAGTCATTAGGTCTGCGAACCATAGATAAAAATTTAAAAAAGATATAGTTATCTATGCGACAGAGCAGATGTGCTGATAAGAGTTTGAAATCTCTTAAAATAGGTTTGAAGTTGCAAAAAGGGAGGAAGGAAGTTTGAAATAACTCGAGAATGAGTTTGGATGACACGTTCTTGATAAGTTTTTTTTATGATACCAAGAGAAGGGACGAAGAAGTCGTTCAGTGCCACTCAGAGCTTTAAATCGCAAAGATTTGAGGAATATATACGCCTGTCTCCCTGAAACAGAAGCTGACAAGTCTCGTGTGCTAATAATTTCACCAGCTACCTAAATCGGAAGGCAGTAAGTAATAGTTTAAATTCGAAAACACAAAAGACCTGATCCATCTGTTTTTCTCATTAATTTACGCACTCAAATCATTTAACTTCTCCGTCGTCGAACAGTTACCTTGCTGGACTGCCACGTAAGGGTTCCGGGTTCGATTCCCGGGCCGGGAGAAATATTTGTGTGGCCTACATTTATTTCTCTCGTGAGTTTGGGTGTAATTTGTTGTTGTCTATGTGGATGTCCACTGCACTTGCGACACAGGGTTTCCCTA